CTTCATAAAATAAAATTACTAACTTATAATAACACCAGTTAAACCTTGAAATTCCTATCTATGTGCACAGGAACCTGAGCACAGTGCCACTTCCATCCTGGGAGCCTTGTAGTCCCAGATGTGGCTGGAGAGGAGGAAAGCAGCTGCAGCAGGGTGGCTAGTGCCAGGTGAGGCTCCAGGGTTATAAGGAGAAGCAGGGATTTGTTGTTAGCTACCGTTGAATTGACTCCCGATCATGGCAACCCTGGGGATGAGACACCTCCAGGACTCCCTATCTTCCACTGCTCTGCTCAGGCCCTGCAAACCCATGCCTATGAACCCCCTGATTAAGTCCATCTGGCATACTGTCTTCCTCTCCTTCTTCTACACTCTACCTTTTCTAGCATTATTGTTTTTCCTAGTGATCCATGCTTTCTAATTAAGTGGCCAAAGTACAATAGTGCTCTTGTAGCACCTTTGAGATTAACTAAAGAAAGAAGTTGGCAGCAGGAGCTTTCGTAGACTTAGGTCTAGTTCCTCAGATGCATTTACTTCAATTTAGCTTCAATGTGATCATCTTGGCTTCCACTGACATTTCTGGTTTGATCTGTTCAAGGACTCAATTGTTTGCCTTTTTGGCTGTCCATGAGATTCTCAACACTCTTCTCCAGCACCACATCTCAAATGTGTTGATTTTCTTTTTGTCTGCTTCCTTTATTATCCAGCTTTTGCATCCACATATGGCAATGGGGAATACAATGGTCTGACTTTAGTGCTCAATTGTATGTCTTTACTTTTCAGGGTCTTTTCTAGTTCTTTCACAGCTGCCCTTCCCATTCCTAGCCTTCTTCTTATTTCTTGACTACAATCACCACTCTGGTCAGTATTTGACCCATACTCACTGTTATTTTATGCATTTATGACTTACTAAACATTTTTTTTAAGTTTTTCTTTACATTTCCTAGTCTAGTCTATGCATGTTGTCCACAGTAGGTCACAAAATACCCCCAGAAAATCCCATTTAATTATGGATGGCAAACATACAAATAATTATATCTGCAAACGTTAAACCTGCAAAAGTTAAGCTTCAACTTAACTTTTAAATCTAGAGAGTTCTCAAACAGGCAACTGGTGAAAATGGTTGCAGGAGGAGCTGTTATAGTAACACAGCAAAAGAGGACTCAATATATTGGTAGGTAGCTGCAGGATGAAGAGTTCAAGAGGAGCTAAACTAAGGCTGCAGCCACACTGCAGAAATAATGCAGTTTGACACCACATTATTTGCCATAGAATCATAGAATCATAG